TTCTGAACAACCAAAGTGAATCGTTTTTTCTCCTTCTGAGCCCTAATCAACCAGGCTCGAAAGGTTTTTTGAACGTCGAAGTGTTCAGACAATACTCTGTGTATTAGTTGGACTTCAGGCAGAGCACTCTGTTAAATAGTTGCTGCAGTATTTGATTATTCTGACTGATGGAAAACCTTTTGTAACTCTGTTCTAAATGTTCTGGTTCACATCCAGAGAATCTGAAGTCCTTTACTGATGGTTTGGTGGAAAATACATTTAAATGCTCACATTGGTCACGTGGAAATGTTTTAAATGTTTTGTTATTATATCTGCAAAGCAGAAACTGGAACTTGATAGAGTAGTATTCAGAGCATTTCAGAGCACCGATACGAACACAAAATGTCTCACACCGACAAAAAGGCCTGTGTTAGCTTAAAGGATTATTCCAGTTCAGCACTACCTTAAACAAAGGAAAATCACAGAACTATTTTCAAAGATTTCCCGTATTTCTTTTTCTTTTAAAACAAAAAAACTGGCAGAGCCTGTCAGACCACCACACAAGTTGTGACAAACAGTACTTTCCGTGGATTTTTTTATGCTTTTTGGTGATTCGATGTGACTCAAGGCTCTTGAAATGTGTTCTTCCAAAATTGATATTAGCTTAAGTCCAAAAATACAAGAGTAGGCCTGCTTAGGTTTCTGGTAATGCGGCTGTGCCGGTGTTTTTGGCATCTGTTACAGCGAAGAGGCCATGACGTGTTAAGTTTTTGTTGTGAGTGGAGTTGAACATGAATATATTTGCAGTGACGAACACCTTTAATGCTCATCTGATGCATCATAAACCTGTTTGGTCGTAGCGTACAACATTTTAACATTGGTTTAAACTGAGGGAGGTTGATATTTCAGTGTGGTCAGCACCCTTTTCTCTCCTCTGCTCACATCACCAGCAAAGGACTAAGATGCAAGGGGATTGAAGGTTGTACAGCAGACTCTGAAATGAGTGGAGATGTTTGTCCAGCAGCTGTAAAGATTAAGACCAAAGTAATAGAGGCTGTAATAAACCAGAATGTATCTTTAACCTAAGAAAAATAAGATATATTTTCATATATATTCTTTCTTTTGTCTTTTTTTTTCTTCTGAAAAGCATGATGATGTAACGAGTAACATCCTTTTACTTATGAAATGTCACTCCTCTTTCCCTGAATTTCCCTCATGCTGTTGGGGAGTTTCTGCACTGATACAAATTAAATGCAGGACATTTCTGTCAATCTTTCATTTTGTGGGGCAATTGTGGCAACATGTATATACAAACACAAAATGAGGAACATGGCAAATGGATGTAACCCAGTCTAGATCAAGTTTTGTCGGTTTCTTGGCAGCTACTTTTGGATTTACGGAATATATAAATGTATATATATATTTATATATATATACATATATATATATATAGTTGTGTGTGTGTGTATTACATATGTATACATATGTTATATATATTATATATATATATATATATATATGTGTATATTTTTTTCATTCATGAGATGAGATAATTTCTATTAAAATCCACGTAGAAATTACGATTAAGAAGAGCAAGTCATTGGTTTTCCAGCCAACCATGAATACAGTAGAACCCAACATATGATCACAACACCTCGTAAATCCACGCAGCAGTATTACTGTCAGACATCCCTCCCGGAAGTCACTCTGCAGTCTGTGAACTATCGCAGCGTCTACTGAAGTATTATACTGGTTAGCTAAAGATATAATACAAGTACTGCTTGAAAGTGCAGATAAGAAGCTTGGCACAAGGTTAGTTTTGTGTTTTGAAAGAAATACTGTAGATACACATGTAAACAAAGACACTATCCCCGACCTAGCTGGAACCTTCCCAGAAAATGGGAGAGGTCTTGAAAAATAGAACACACCTGTACACAAATAGAAGCAAATATTTAGAAAATACATTTACACGTGTATAATATACAGTAAGTTTCATAACCCTCTGACTGGTAAGATAACACTATTCATTCCAAAAAAATATATGTGTTAAAGAAGCCACACAGCCTGGCACACGCGAGGCTGAGCTGGTATGGGTCATTCATGAGTGGTTTTCATGTTGCGAATGGGCCAAAGCAGGATTTTCTGCACCACAGTGTTTAACCCAAGCCATCTTTTGCGCCTCCAGAATGGCTCACGTTTACGCACGCCGCTCTTCCTGGGACCACGTGTTTTGTTTCCTTCCTTTCTTTAAAAGAGTTGAGGCTAAAAATCGTCCGCAATGGTTGTGAATCGACCGTCGAGGCGGCGTTAAATCCACCATTTTCAATCTGTACATATTGCTGTCTGCAACCACAAATGCTTACAATTCCAGAATTGTATTTGTGCTTTGTTCAATCCCCCAGCACAACTGAACGTAGATCAATGAGCAACTTCTGCAAAAGCTTCATAGCACAACGATAATCAGAGCTTGAAGCTGTCAGCAGAGCGCAACTAGATTTAAGAGACAGTTTGGAGCAATTTGGTCGCAGCTAATAGGCTTGTCTTAATCCCTTTTACTCAACAAAACGATGAGGGAGTTAGATTTTTTTTACTCATAGTTCTTTACTGTTATATTTTTTCCCACCTGGCTTTGGCACAAATTAAAATGATCTTCTCGTGCACCTTCCCAACAATCTGGCTGTGATAGCTGAAATTCTGATATGCTGAAAACATGGTCCTGTAGAACTGAGTAGATGTGGATTTGGACAGCCTTCAGGACACATTCATTTTGGGGATTTCCTTCCCGTTCAGTTCCTGCATTTGCTAAGTCATCGGACAAACCCTGTGACTTTAATCTGCACCTGTTTATGGCCTTTTCAAAGTTTATTTTGTTATTGTATACTCTAACGTCCACAAAATGGTTAAACCTTTTGGACTTCCTCATTAGCTCAGAGTTTGAGGTTTCAAAGGTAACGTGTCAAATCTGGAGCAATCTGGGGGTTTGGTGGGAGATTTTTTGTTATCTGAGGGGGGATACATTTTTCAGTTATTTATGCAAACTACAAGATTGTTGTTTTCTTTGAATTATCTTTTATCTGGTATGCTTGGCTCTTATTAAAAGAAGAATTTCTTCCAAACAGCAGGTGAGTTTGAGTCCAGTATGAAGGGTGCAAGAAAGCCAGACAGACCTGAGACGGTGTGAATGTCCTGCCCAGCTCCACGCAGCGGCTCGTGGTGGTCTGTGATCAACTTACACAGGATTTAGCTGGATTCAACACAGAAGCTGCCTGTGTGTTTTTTTTACTTGGCTAAATCGGGCACAAATCTCATGTCAAAAGCATTTGAAGTGGGCACTGGGTTGGCTTGCGTTAAGCGAAAGATGGGATATTTCATCATCATCATCTCAGCGAAGGGTGTGAGCGTTTCTAACAACAGTGTCCGGTGATCCAGACTTCCATGGTTGGGGCTGTGGCAGGCTCTTCTGTGTATAAAAATAGACATAACTCTCCTGGTCTTGAAACGGGGCCAATAGAAACTATGTCCTAAAGTCATCTGTCTATTAAAGCGTTCACCATCCCTTTTTCAACCCTATGATCCCCCAGCTCACAGGATAGTGATTCATAGAAATATCTTTTAGTCTCTTTTGTGACACATTTCTTTAAAACTATTTCAAAACATATTCAATACATTTGGAGTTTTTTTTTTTTTTACTTTCACATTTCTTTAAAATATAAAAACAAAAAAAACATGTCTAATTGGAGTTGATACAGGGTTAATATAACACTCTTTGTCTAGTCCTTTAGATTTTTTTTTTTTAACTTCCGTCTATCCAGGTTGTGGCACATAGTGGCATTATTGGCACATTGTTCAGAAATACAGTTAATCTTCTACCCAAAGAGGATCCATGGGCTCAATCGTCAAAAGAATCCCTTGAGACATCTGTGACGTCCAGTCTTGTTCCATACATCCTGTAAATATATCTGATATATAATCTATATCTAAATGACCATAGGTTCCTGGAAAGATGGAGTGGCAGCGTTGTGACTGCCGTGCTTGGTGTGTCTAGAAAAATAAATATCTTCACTGGCGTCCGAGGAGTGATCACAATATTTTACAAAAGAAGCTGTGTTGTGTGTGTGTGTGTGTGTGTGTGTTGTTTCCAACGGATTCCTGTGAAGATGCAGAAAACAGATATTCCAGTTACTCGTTATTGTGAGACTACAACAAATAAAACAATACAACTAAGATTTTTCGAATAAACCTAACCTTTCCAGAAACAGACCAAAAGGGTTATGCATATTGCAAATGAACCTAATCCATGCATAAAACAGACAGACTGTGAGCTTAGAGAGCAGGGCTGAGTAACGCGTGTCCAGAAAACACTGAGACGCTGTCCTCTCACTACATTACCTGCGGGCCAAATATTTCTTTGAAAATCTGGGTCAATAGCAGCAGTTACACCTTCCCGCAGGCTTCCAGTAACACTGTGGGGCCGGAGCATGTGTTGTACATTCACACTTTGATTCAAATGCATATTTTTAGCCATGCACATAAATGTGTTCTCCTCGACGGAAAGTGGCCCCTTTGCTCCTCCGAACAGCACGCTTTTTTGTGCAAGAATGAAAAAGGCACCATAAATATTAATGAACACCTTCCATATATTAGGAGAGAAACAATTAACTGTGAGCATAGAGTTTATTCGTAGTGATGTATGCGTAATGAGGCTCTTATCACTAACAAAGACCTGTGATAGTGCCCTGAACCAGATTGCTCAGCCCCCTCTCATGACTGCACAGGAGATGCAAAAAAAGGAAAAGAAGAAGAAGAAAAGCATAATCGTGTCACAAATAACAAACATATGCCAAGTTCCTGTCTATTCCCAAAGTGGGGCAGCATCACCACAGGGATCGAGGTGGCTAAGGCTCAGACGACAGTTCCAAGGGGGGAGGGGGGGGGGGGCAAAATGGAGCAGCAGCACCCACCAGAGCGTGAATTCAGGAAGTCTCTTCCACCCACAGAACAAGAAGAAGGCCTTCAGTTCGTCAACAAGAGATCTCGAACCATTTCTCCGACACAAAGGCCACGGGAATCAGCTGTCTCTCGGTGGGGGAGGGCCTGTTGGGTGAAACACACGCAGTTAAGCGGACTGACTCATAAATGGCCTGACTGCAAACCAGAAGCATCCCACACGTTATACAGAACATCCCACAAGTTATCATCATGTCCCTCCTTAGCCTGCAGGGTCACAGTCAACATTGTCATGTACAAGCACACAAAAAGTGTTTACATCAGCAAAGATACTCCCAGAACTTTGAAGTTTTACCAGTAAAAAAAACAAGAAAAAAAAAACTTTTTCCAATAACACGCAGACACTAAAAGAACCTGATACTGTAATGAATCTGCGACAGGGTGTGGAAGCACCGAGTAAGTGTGACCGTCCTCACTGGCCCCGCAGCTCAGATGACTGTTGCTGTTATTCACTCAGACAAACACTGTCAATACTCTACCAACTTACTGCCACACCGCCCACAGAATGGTCCACCATTTCTGTCAACACACCTGTCACTTTAAATCACAAAGACAGATAGGATCCGTGTAAACCCTCCCGTCTATTTGTTTGGTTAGAAAAGGAATAGCTGGATGGATCAGCTAAGTGGGCCAAACATGTTTTTTTTGTGAGTCATTTCATGACATGTGAAGCTCAGGGCATAAAGCCGACAAACTACCTGTGCACCGTTCAGGTAACTGTGGTGAAACGGCATCCTGTTGCCCCGCATCTGTAAATGGACTCATTACCCAGCAACAGAAAATCAGTTGAACATGATTTTTATGAGCTGCCTCGAACGTGCTGAGGCACACCATTCACCCGGGTGTCAGGCAGATGGATGAAGAATGAGGCGTAGCGTGTTAAAAGCGTTTTTTAGACGTGTGCACTCCCACTGAAACAAGCCGATTAAAGCTTTTCCCGTGGCGCGTGGCAGCAGCTGTATCATCTGCGCTCTGAGGGCCGAAACCTGATGGTTTAGTGCAGTTTTACCACACTGAAATAGTTTTTAGGGGAGAGGTAAGCCAGTAAAGCATTATGCTGCATTATACCGGGATGGTCTCTCTTCCTTGGGCTGTTTTTTGTGTGGATGTCAACCCCACACGGCCTGTATCAGACTCCCGATGTCCACGATGTGGATCTCAATGTCCACGTGCTGGTCTTTCACTGCACTCCAAGAGCCAGATGTTAATAAGTGTGCATGGTTTAAAATGAGTTTAAAAAAGCTCCAAAGGGAACCTATTTATGAGCAGATTTTCTAAAGTAATCCTCTGATTGAAGGTGACTCGAGCTGAGAGAAGAAACTCCATGACTGTCTACTCAACGTGCTCTTTCTCCTCTTGGTTTCCTGTCAACCAATATCTAGTGTTTGTTTCCATGAAAACCTCCCTATACAGCAACAGATGATTATTTTTAATAAATAATATAAACTAATCCTGTCTGTTTATCTGGTCAATGTGTGATTACGTCTTAATACAACACAAAAAAATAGACATGATCCTGTTTGTCTCACCAAAATCAGATGTTCTGAATGCATGCAAACATCTTTAGTGAGATTAAATTAGTACATTGAAGCTTCTTGGTTGTGGTTTGAATCATTCCTGATTCTATGTTCTCAACCCAAATCACAATGGCATATGTTCTAAATGTTTTTCTTTGTGTTGTTTCAGGGTTTCGTGCATTTTCGCACGTTGTCTGTATTTGAGGCTGAGATGGGTGATTGCGCCCAGTTTTGAGGAGCTGTATGATTTGACCTAATCTCTTTTTCTAGTGTTCCGTCACAGTGATGTGGTTAGAGTTGATATGCTTCGTTGGCCAGCTGAGGAAATATTTCAGTGCGAATCCACACCCCCCGTTTAGCCGTTCCTCCGCCCTGTACCTGTTTCCGTTGTAAGATGTCTTGTAGACAGGTGTCTGCTGGATCATCTCATCAGTGTAGATGGGCACAGCAGTCCTAACGCACTCATGTGAGCACTGCAGGCTGTCATTGTAGGCAGTGAATATGTCCACCTTGCTGGGTACCCGAGCTGGGGTGAAATCTGTCAGGTTCTGGCAGCTTTCCTCTTGCTGGTGGATCTTTCGCTGATGGCTATTGTGGCGGCCATTTCCAGACTGTGCACAGCTACAAAAACACGCACCAAAGACAAGAAACAAAAATAAAATCATACCTTGCACCTTTGGTCCGTCGGTTATGATTTCCGAGTGGCCGAGCAATGAATGCTAAGTAAAGGAATCTTTCCTACCAGTTTTTAAGGACGAGTGTTGTGATCAAGGCTGCGATAACCATAATGAGAGACACAGTGATTGTGATTATCTGGTGCACTGCCAAGCCTGCAGAAGGAAAGAAATGAACATGAATTACAGTTATTTAAGGGGGAAATGCTTTGCACTCCCATTGTTCACAGCCCAGAAAACACCACTTCTCGTTCGTTTAACAGTTCAAACAGAATTGCAACCCACGATTTCAAGATTCAGTCATTACATTCACAGGTAAATAAATACAAGTAATAAGTGTGATTTTATTTTATTTATTTTTTTGCTGGAAGAAAAGCCTAAATGAATTCATGTTTCAACCCTCAAAGAGTAAGTGTTTACCTATAGTCCTCCCGGTATGTTTGTTTTTTTGTTGATTTTTGCAAAAAGGCTATCACTTTAACATTAAATGGGAAAACATCAAGTGATACGATGTATTGAATGAGATTAAAAAAGTGGATCCTTAAAGGTGATGTAAGCTCTCTGAAAGTTGAGAGTGTAGCAGAAATTACACAAAATTACATTAATCTGATTTTTGAGGCCTTTGAGGGGTATGGTACTGAAAATCAAACAGAGAGAAATTACCATTTCTTTAACCCCAATGCGCCTGAGACCTGGGACCTGTTCTGGAGCACACTGTAAGTTTGGTTTCCCATTTGCATCTGAAAATAATACGAGGGAGAAGAGTGGCACTTTTCACACAGCTCACCCCTTAGACCAAGGCTGTCGAACATTAAGTAAACTCATCTACCCTCCAGGTGTCCTTAGCGGCCGGTGTCCTGCAGGTTTTAGATGTTTCCCTGCATCTACACACCTGATTCTGATTCTTTCTAAACATTGGCTAGCTCTGCACAGGCCTACAACAAATGGTGACTTGATGTGAATCAGGTGGTGCAGAGAAACAGCTAAAGCCTGCAGAACAGTGGCACTTTACAACTGGAGTCTGACACCTGTGTTTTAGACCAACGGCAACAATTGCTTTAGGTCGTTAATCAAAGTTTCAGGAAGATCAAATCGTAGCCCCTTGTGTTCTCATGGTTTGTAACAGTGTCCTCTGTATTTCAAGGACTTTGCTAAATATTTCTGTCAGTTAATTTCTTTCTTTCTCCCCGCTCTTTTCAATTGTTTTGGTTTTTCTTCACGTCCCATGTCTTTAAACCTGATACGTGAATAAAACTGACTTGACATGCTTATTTCCACATTTGTGAGATATTCCCATTCTACGCCTCTGCGCTAAGCATCTAAATCACAGTGAAAATGCAACAGGGAGAAGGAGTGCAGCTCCAACCAGGAAATGTTTTGCTGTTCACAGCTCCACTGACCAACTGTTTAAACTCAAGACACACTGGAGATACACGACAAAAGGAATTAACACCCAAATACAGAGACGTTAAAAGGCAATCACAGAGAGAATTTAAGGCATTGACCTAAATGCTTATTTGATTTAAGAATAATCAGAGGAACCAGGAGGTCCGACTTTCGAACGGTGACACCTTTCAGCGTTTTTATAGTCATGCTGAGTATCTCAGAATCTGAAGCCATTCTTCTGCCATTTACTTGCAAATGATTATTACCAAGAAGTCAAAATATGTTCTTTATGACTAAAAAAGGCCTGCTGGTTTAAACTTGTAAGACTCTCTCGTGTCCTGACAGTAAAGAGCAGTAATCCACCAACAAAAAACAGCCATAAATGTCTGAAATGAGGATTAGTTCGAGTCCGCTGCACTGTACTTTAAGTATGTTTGTGTATTTGTGTGGGTGAGTGATGGAGCACTGGAGCAAGTCCGACACAATGACACACTGCAGCAAGCCGGGCAAAAAAAATAAATAGAGAAATTAAAAAAATAAATAAGTAGAAAAGGCGCCATGATGAAAATGCCCACATGGGCCTTATAGACCTCACCTCTCTATCAGCCAGCTGCCTAGCTGCTGATCCAAGCCAATTTGTCTTCTGGAAAGGCTCAAAAAGAAGTGCTGCTCAGTTATTTTGGAAAAGAACACAACCTTTCCTCTGCTGCCCTAAAGCCTGGCCAGCCTCATCTTAGATAAAAGGAAAAAAATCAGTCTGTGGGCAGGGCTATGCAAAGGGCAGAGCAGGTCAATCTTGGATTAATGATATCTCAGGTGGGCGGTGGGAAGCCTCACTTTCCCAGTGCAATCACATTCCTTTGCCATGGCAAAGGCACATTAACTTATTTGGAAAGTCATTTGCATTTAGCACACATCCCCTCTCAGTCCTCCATGTCCCTCTCTGGCTGACGTTGAGCCTTTTTGGTTTAAATAGTTTGCTCATAAAGTAACATCTGCTCAAGTTCAGGCCCAACAGAGCTGGTGTTTGACCGTGATTGGTAGTTGAGGCGTCTACTGAGGCTTATTCACCCAATCCTCACGTCCAACTCAAAATAGGGAAGCTTCCAGTTGGTGAAATTAAGATCAAAAGCACCACTTGGTCACATTCTCCACTGAAATCCAGCTGATTAGAACACAAAATGCGGTTCAATTATTTTGTGTGATTGACCCAGCGTCTAATTCACATTACTCTGTTATTTTAAATAAGGAAAGTTTGACTGGCTCAGCTGGTTAATATGAGTGTGTTGTGTGTAATCTACCGATGATGTGCAGCAAATTTCTGGGCACTCATTAGAGGTGCCATCAGATTGCCATTTGAGGCCAAACTCTGCATACAATCTTGGATGCAATTCCCTAATGAAATAAATGAGGCCCAAAATGTAAAATCCAATGAGACTTAGATGACATTAAACCCATTATAACCCAATTGTTTAAGGGGTGCGTCCATGGTGGAGCACAGTGACAAATATGAGTGCAAAGGCCAGCTCTCCACTGCCATTTGGAGGGTGGGAAATTTGGCTGGGATGTCTAAAACTCATCGTGTCCTGGCAGTGAGGTTGTGAAATCACCTTTGTCTGTCACCTTTGGAGATACCCACTCCATTTTTTTTTTTATTATTGGTCAAATCATTGTCAAACAAAGAGAGGCCTGGGAAAAGACTACAGGGGGAAAGGAAAATAAAGCACAGATATGAGAGGAGGACTGATCATGCGTGACTGCTGGCAGGCACATTTCAGCCTCCGTAGACGCTTCCATGAAAGGCACTTATTGAGATTTTACACATTCCCGGCTTTGACAGTTTGATGAATATATCAATAAGAAACATGTTTGCAGTTTCTGCACATTTTTAATAAAAGAGCTCCAGCACTGATGGAACAACTCAGCGGGGAGTTCATAAATATCCATCTCAGGTTGCATCTGCTTTGTAAGGCTGCACTTTTTAAAAATTCCCATCAAATGTCACGACACATTATCTCAGTTTTTTTTTACCCCGAGAGAATCAACATGTCCACTGAGTAAAATTGTTTTAGTTTCACCCCTAAAAATGACAGGGTTTCAATTCAGTCCTTATGTCTATAGTTTAACTACCACTTAAACAATATAATTTTTTTTTAGGTTTTTAGCCAACCGTGGGCATCATATAAACCCTAAATGGAGCAGAAATAAACATTGTAGCTTTTTAAAGAGAGAGGTGGATCATCTAAAACACATTTTTTGCTTCTTTTTTGGTGATTGATTATATATTTTCAGTATTTCTCTTTTTTAGCAACAAACCATCAGCCAGTGTTCAGTGATGGGTGCAGCCGTGTGCAACCGCTGACTTTAGGTCTGACTCTGTAAATAAAACGGGGGGGAAAGATGATGCAAGACGTTGCAAGATAACATCCAATAAAAATCAAGATTTTAATGTAATTAAAAGGGCAGTGTGTGATGTGGAAGATGGACTGACATCTACAAGTAAAACTACACTGAAAGCCATTTGACTTTCACTTTGAGATGTTGTACCTCTTTCTTTATCCAAATCTGTTTATTTACTTATGTGTACTAGGTGCTAAAAGCTATACTGTTATACTGTTGTACAGTTTTCAAATATCCACTTATGGGACCGATAAAGGCCTTATCTAGTCTAGTTTTCCTTATCAAGTGCTGCAGAAACTGCATCTATCCAACAGGAAGAGGTCTTATAAAGTTATAGACATGTAATCCATGACATATAAAACCCTCATTGAAAGACTGTTTTATTGCTCTGCATACATGGGCATGGTGTGGTGCGGGCATGCATGTTGAAATGTCTGGATGAAACAAAATCTAGCTGTTATTAGAGTGGCCATTTGGAGCTAATGGCGCATACACCCACACAGGGTTTTCTTAAAAGCTCCGGAAAAATGTGAGAGAGATCCCATATTCGTGAGGGTGGCGTAGCTCACACGGCCTGAACAGGCACGCTCAGCGCAGTTAAAATGCTGCGCGAGCCTCCGAGATTGTCTCTGCCACAACCGGAGCACGACACGTTGGGAGAGGACTTCCGTCAGAGGTTACCTGCTGCTAGCAAGAAATTGCCAATTAACATCGGTGTCAAGGTGTCAATCTAGGCTGATTTCCACAGCGTAACAAAGCAATCTAAAAACACTTCCACACTCGTGGCAAAAGCAGGGGACAAGGAGCGGAACGGAAAGAAGAGAAAATCTGAAGAGGGGGGAGATCAGTTACAATTACTCAAAATGAGTTTTTTCAGTCAATGTCAAAGGCATTGCTGCATAATTCAGCCTGCCTGGGTGGCAAACGCTAAAATGGCACAAAATGGGTGACCCAGAGTATATTACCACAATGATAGCCCCCCATAAAGGAAGATGCACGCATCATGAGTTTGTATTAGAAACAGTGGGGGATACCCAAGATCTCATCCTATTAAGGACAGGTAAAAATTATGGAAATGTAAAGGTCGGTGGAAAGTTTCATAGCCATTCACAAGTTTTGCCATACTTTTTAAACCTGATAAAAGTTCAGCGGAACTGTTAAACAGGCAAATGGGGCTCAGAGCACATTCTGCCTTTGTGAACTCTTACAAGTAGGGTTCAAAATCAACTTGAAGAAGAGTTATACTTCAATTCTGCTTTGGCCTGGCTGATTGACAGAACCTCCAAAGCACTGTCTCCGTCAACATATGTATTTCTCTTCTTTAAGGCGGATGTGCCATGCCAGGATGAGAGAGCTGGAGGAAGGGAAAG